TTTTTCATTGAATTAAGAAGGAAACAACAATGATAGTTTTTCTAAATGTATATACCTTTTTTCTTCAGCTCACTACAAAATATTGAAGTAAGGAATAAGTATAGAAAAAGGCGATGTGGAATAAATTTATAATTTATGTGGAATAATTTTGGAAAAAGGCGATGTGGAATAAATTTACCAAGACCCGTCTTTTATGGGTCATGACAGCTAATATATCTATAAAATGAGAAAACTTTATAATTTTATTTTAAATTTTAGAAATCTTTTTTGCTAAATTATTATTTTTTTGTTATAAGTATATAAGCATTATTAAAAAAATGTCAAAGTTTATTACGCTGAAGAAAAAAAGTCTTTAACCCCCTAAAACAAAACGGATAACAGCACTACTGAGCTATCAAATGAAATGCATTTAGTAGAAAAATAAATCTAATTATGAGTTTTTTATAAGCTCTATATATGCGGAAAAGGTGCACATGTTAAGTTTTTTAGTCTTGAATGTTTTTTTTAGAATAAATTGTTTTACTAAAAAATATTGAATTAAATAAGGAATAGATATATAATAATCAGTCCAGAAAAGATATGGATAGAAATGTTAGGCTTTATTAAGGCCCGTATTCTACGGATCCAGAAAGCAAGGATCTATAGGGAAAAAGTAAAGAAAAGTTCGGTTTGGAATAGACTTACAAAGACCCATATTTTTACGGGTCCGATCTCAGCTAGTATAATATAATTACAAAAATTGTGACCATTAAATAACAACAAAAATTTTAAATTTTGATGTCACCTTTATAATGGCTTCTTTTACTTAAGTATGAAAAAAATGAAGTCCAAAAATTTGTTATTAAATATTGTTTTATGTCCAAAATCATACCACCGTACATTGGAGAACATTGATGTTTTTGTACCTCCAAGGCCTCACAGACTTTTCTTTCAAATTTTTTAACCTCAGCTTTAAGTGTTTCTACTTTATTCCATTCAATGTCCTCATTGCAATTTTATTTATGCAAAGCTAATGCAGACTGGTTTAACTTGCCTTCAGTCAAAAATTTTGTTGTTGTTGAACCCTTGTTCATATTTGAGGTTTTGTTTCATCAAGACTTTGGAGCATTTGCACTTAACTAAATAGGTTCCTGGGGTGCTGTTGCGTTGTAATTTTAATTTATTTTTAGACGTTTTTAGTGATATATATCTGGGAGATATAAAATAAATAAATATATATATATATATATATATATATATATATATATATATATATATATATATATATTATATATATATATATATATATATATATATATATATATATATTAATATATATATATATATATATATATATATATATATATATATATGTATATACACAGGGGCTATTCTAGGAAAAAAATATATGCGGCAGCAGTACATATATAGCAGCAGTATATATATAAATAAATATATATAAATATATATTTACACACACACTGTTGCTTAAGAGGAAACTTTATGTTTTTGTTTTTTTTAAGTTAATTTAAAAGACCAGAAAAAGTTTAAAAACCTTTAAAAATTTTTTTTCATTTTATAGACTCTATATCCATATCAAAACCCTCAGTCAGTGTAGCAACACTCCTCATATGTTCTACCTATTTGTCAGTCAATATAACATATAATAATAATATAATATGTGATATTATATGCTATATTTTTTTGCCTTTCTGTTTTTTTTTTGTTTTTTTTTTATATGATTATAATTTTTTAGGTTTTTTAAAACATAAAATGATAAAAAAATATATATATTTTTTCCTTTGCATAAACATTTACAATGTTTGTTATTGATGTTACATTTATCAAAGTATTTTTTTGTTTTAGTGGGTGGAAGTTAATATTCGATCTTTTTTGTATGCTGTTTTGCTAACCCATTCTAGTATTTTATTTGTGTTAAACCAGTTTGAAATTAAGTCATCGTTTTTGGTGTGGCTCTGGCTTTTGTTTCCATTTATGTGCATATGTCTTCCTTATGATTATCTGAAGCTAACTATATGTAGAAATCACATAAAAATTTTAGTTTTGCATTTAATTGGATCAGTTGTCCCAAGTTTGATTACAGTTTACCATTTGTTTATTTTATACAAATTTTTTGTTCCTTTATTTGGAAGAACTGGAACTGAAATACCAGGAGATGCAGTATTGGCATTAGTTACAGCATTGACTTGCATTGTTATTTTGTTCTATTTAGTAAGTTTTTGTTTAGCTTATTAATGACAAAGTTTGTTTTTTATTTTAGTGGCAACAGAATATTTTTTTACTTTTTTTAATGGCGATAATGTACAAACTTAATTATTCCTGTTTTAGAATTAAATTTCACTTTTTTCAGATAAATCTTATCCATGGTGCTAAAAATGGACCTAAGTTTGTTATATTATTAGGCTTATTATCATTTATCCCGTTATTTATTGCATTAAGTGGACAACTTAAGCCATTTTCAATTGGTTATTATACAACTCCGAAGCGCTTTTTTATGCAAGTGAGATTCATTTTTTTAATTTTATTTAGGAAAATAAACTACTTTCAAATATAAAATATACAAATTATATCGTTATCTCATAATTATTAGTAGTGTCTTGTAGTTGTCTATATTGGGAGGGAATGCTGTCAAAAAATCATTAACAGATTTTTAAAAAAAGAGGAAAAATACTCCTTTTTTTTTTTTTTTTTTTTTGATTTTGCAGTGTTATAATTATTTTTAGTGTTGTTACTGACTTCAACTAAATCAACTAAAAGTTGACTAGTCAAAAGTTGAAGTTGCGACTTTGAAAAATCAAATAGTTGATTTAGTTGAGTAAAAATCTAAAAGACCTTATATCTTTTCATTCGGTTTAACTTTTCAATTCTTAATCTTTGTTCATTTAATAACAATAGCATGTACTATTATAACTGTTACCTAGGTTTTTGTTTTACTCTCTTAAAGTTTTATTGAATTGATAGCATGTTAGCATTATTTATGCTCTTCCGCAGTACTCTGTGAAAAGACCGTAAGGACTTCTCGGAGCATCTTGATAACTACAAAAAAAAAAAAAAAAAAATTATGCATAATTAAACTTTCGGTTATGTTTTTCAATCATTAGTATTTTTTTTCCTTTTGTTTACTTGGTGCTTTTGATTTTCATAAATACTTTTATACTGAGCTACTCCAAGTTGGCTCGGGGGGCCCTTAGACAAAATTAAGTTGTGAAGCTGCAAAATCTAAATGTCATCTATATAATTGATTATCACATTGTAAATATGATTGTAAAGACTTTGATATATAGCAAGTATTTAACACAGTCCCTAAATTGTTGATTTTTGGGAAAAAATTTTTGCTTTCAAAGCGGCCCATCTTTCATTATGTTTTTGTTCTATTAATATTTAAATGGTATGATTTTAAAAAAAGAAAGCAAATATAAATTAATTTATTATTTTTATTACAATTTATATCAAAAAAATAAAAATATTCCCATATTTTGACTAAATCGACTTTTAATTGACTTGATTGATTTCAAAAATAGATTAGTCAATTTATTAGACAGTCAAATAATTTAATAGTCGTAACAATACTAATTGTTTTGCTTTTAAAATTTATTTGAAAAAATTAAAGAACAATAATATTTATCTTTCGCAGCAACTACATTTAGCTTTTATTTCTACTTTTTCTTATTCTATAATTTATATAATAATAATTTTTATAAACTATAACTATAATGATGTATAATTAAAATTAACAATTATAAAATGCCTAGCTTATAGAGAGACAATTTAAGTACCATACTACTTGGTAATAGAGACAATTTAAGACATACTATTTGGTAAAGGAAGAGGGATAATCACTAAACTCAGGGTGTATTTTTCTCATTTAAACCATTTTTGTTTTATTTATAAATACAAGTTTAAGTAGAAAGTTTGTCTTGTATCAAATATTTTATATGATGAAGACTTAAGCTAAATTTATATAATTATTTTATTTTATTTTATTTTATTATTTAATATGTCCTTTTAAGTGGAGCAATTTGGTCTGTATAATAACTCAAAAATGTTGACTTAGCACTGTAATAAAAGAGTACAACAATAAAAGCATTGAAAATTTCAGATTTATGTCTAATGCAGTTTTTGAGAGAATACTATTTAAATATTATCAAATATCATATTATATAATGCTCAACTTAATGCTCTTTTATGCGTGTTTGCACAAAACTTATTGGCGCAAAAGAATCACAGCGCTTTTTTATGAGAAAATGTGAACGAATATCTAACTATATGCAACTATATGTATGCAAATATCTAACTTATATGAACTTCAAGTTATATAACTTATATAAACATCAAGTTATATAATGTTAAAAATTATATCAAATTTTACAGTTTTGCTTTTACTTAAAAATTGCATTTCACCAATATCTTCTTCCTTTTGATTTTGATTTTCTTTTTCATTTTGATTTTTATTTTTTGCTGATTAACAGAGTCTTTTGTTTATTAAAAAGTGTTTTAAAAAATTAATATAGTATGCTTTAGTGATTGAAGTGGTTAGCTAGCTGCTGAAGTGCATCGTGAGGATCAAGTCCCTTTACTTCCACATTTAATTTTTCAATCTTTTTCAATTTTCTAAAATACAAAATAAAACATTTTTAAAGTTCTATCGATACAAAAATAAAGACACTAATAACAATTAAAAGGGAGAGAATTTTCAAAATAGCCTAATATTTCTATAAACATCAAAACAGAAAGAACATTTTTCCAAAAACATCAAAACAAAAGGAGAAATTTGTTGTGTATATGTCATGGTAGACATTTATGTTATGTATACGTCATGATAGACATTTATGTTATTAATGTGCTATAATAGGTTCTAATAAACTGCAGATAGTCTGAAATTTTTTAAAATAAAAACCTAGTAGAAACTTAATATAGAAAAAAATTAATTAGCCCGTCCCCCTATTTTTTTTTATGAAGTTTACAATTTTACAATATAAAGTTATGAAGAATTGAAAATTAATTGTTTACTCAAAACAAAGAATTTAAAATTTTTTATTTTTGTACCACTTACTAAAAGTTGAAATAAAGCCACTATTTAAAAAATAAGTATAAAAATTATGACCCGCAATTCACAGGTCATAAAAAGTGAATTACTCCACATATTTGAAATTTCCTATTTACACATGTTTTTTAAACATTTTATATCAATTGTAATTAATCTTAATTAATTTTATGGATCTGGACAAAACATCTGAAAATTTTAAATAGTGTAAGTTTAAAAAAAAAAAAATGCTGTCAATGTTTATTTTTAGAAATCTTTATTATGGTGTTAACTGAATTGAAGCACAATCACGATATAATGGATGTACTTTTTATATTAGGCTTATAAATTTTATGCGCAAAATTTACAAAATGCTTTAAATAATTTTTTTAAACATAATTTATTTAAGGAATTTTTTTGCTGAAATTTATCATTTAAAAAATGAGTTAACATATGTTAGGAAGATATTATAAAATATAGTTACACAAAATATACTATATATGTAATATATAGTATTTTTTGTAATATTTTGTATTATTTCAGATAATAAAACTCAACTTGTTAACTTGTATATTTAATTAAAGTGTATCACTATATTTCATCCGCATTTATTTTTCCCCTAATTTACTTTAAATAGAAAAAAATGTTGCAAATATATGATGTGAAAAATATGTTATTGAGTTGCAAAATTAAAAGAAAAGTTCTAAAAACCACCATCTTAGGCAGATTGAAACTTGGATTATCAACAATTTTAATATTGGATGAAAAGAAAAAACTTGCTGAATGACTCATACAATTATCTGCTGTTCAAGTTTTGCGAATTCGGCAAGAATCAAAATTAATATTCTAAAATGAAATTCCTTCACATACGTAGATAGTCAAATTTATGCAGATACATTAAAGTATATGGATTATTCCATTTTAAATGACCCAGGTCATATCTCATCATGCATCTCAGATTTTGCTAATTTTTATACAGTTAAGAGTGCTTAAGAATTCTTTGAAATTTAAAGCCTCTGGCTCCAAGCAGATCCTGAAATATGTTTTACTTTTAGCAGATGCCTCTTGTCCCCTCAGAATTGCAACATTTATTTATAGTTTTTAAGTAGAGATGGGAAACAAACTAAACCCGAACAAACCAAACTAGAAGTTTACCTATGACCAAACTGAACTAAACCCGCACTTTACTTATTACCAAATCAAACCCTAACTTTGAAATTGTTAGGAATAAACCAAATCTAACAAACTTTTTTTCAAAAGATTTTTAGTAGTTAAAATTTTGCAATTCACACTTCAATATTAAACAAGAAGCGATGTTAAAATTTTGTCATTGAAACTTTGATCTATTTTAATTACATAATTTGCTTTTTAAATACAGGTTTAAAGGATTAGTTCTGAAGAAATATATTTGAATATATAACTATTTAAATACTTGAAAATTTAATCGGCATATTTAAATATCTAGTAAATAAGGTATTTAAATAAGAAATATATTTAAATACAAAATTATTATTTTTTTAATTTACAAATATACATTAAATATCTACGTAATGTTTGTATTTGTAAATTTAAAAAAAAATTTTGTATTTATAGATATTGGCTAATAATTAATAATATTATAATATTATTTAATTTTCTTCTTTTATGTTTTACGCAAATATAACATAAATAATATGTTTCATTGTAAGTTTTATTTTTGATTATTTTCGTTGTTATCTTCGGTTTACTTTACTAGCTGATTTATTTTACTAAAAGTATTAAAAAATCTTTTATTATAAAAACGTTATTAACTTATTTTAAAGTATAATATTTATTAATATGCGAATTTTCTAACTTTCCTTAACTTAACTTAAGATAAACAGCAAAAATCTAAATAAAGAGTTTTTGAATAATAAAAATAAATTAATTAAATAATTTATAAAACATATTGAAAAAACTCGAGAAAAAGTGACGTCAATAAAAATTAAAAATTTTTTTTTTTTTAAACTTTTGAATGAATGATCTTATTAAGGTTAATGACGCTTGTTAATGACGACACGTTTTTACACAAAAAATCGATCAATTTAATTTATTTTATCGTCATGCATACTAATTGTCTAGCACAACAATTTAAATTGGAGACTAACTTAATTTTTTTTTTTTTTTTACTATGATCTTATAAACCTTTGGAAATTTTAAACCAATTGGGAATACTGCGTTATACGCGGTGCCATCAGGCTGGGTAACACCCTGATATATATATATATATATATATATATATATATATATATATATATATATATATATATATATATATATGTATATATATATATATGTATATATATATATATATATATATATATATATATATATATATATATATATATATATATATATATATATATATATATATATATATATATATATATGTATATATATATATATATATATATATATATATATATATATATATATATATAATTTTATTATGTATAAAA